AAAACGCTGCTCTGTGCGAAGGAGACCAACTGATCTGAGGGACGGGGGAAAAATTGGCGTCCAGACTGGATCTCATAGAAACACACACCCAGAACATGCAGCTAAATGCTATTCTGTAACATAAAGATCTAACTGGGATAAACAAAAATGTGTTTTATTAGATTAGATTCAACTTTATTGTCATTACACAGGTACAGGTAAAAGGCAATAAAATGCAGTTTAGGTCTAACAAGAAGTGCAATAGCAGCGATGCAGAATATTCAATGCTATTACTACAAAATAAATAAATAAAACTAAAACTTGGACAGAAGCTTTCCTAATTAAAGTGCAGTGGAAGGTAATTCTGTATTAGTTAAAGTTTACAACTGTATATGTAAACAATTAATACTGTAAATTAACAGTTGGCAGTGCAAATCAATGTTTCAGTTAAGGTAACAGTCAGCAGTGCAAGTGAACGTTATAGTATTTATATATATATATATTTATATATATTATATATGGGAGGATTAGAGTTCAATAAAGTGACAGCTCTGAGGAAAAAACTGTTCTTTATTCTGCTGGTCCTGGTCCAGAGGCACCTGAAACGCCTACCAGAGGCGTTCTATGCTTTTATTTGTAAAACAGATAAAAATTCATTCATTATTTAACCTCAGCTTTGTTATTCTATCGCAGGAAATCCAGATCTAAAACAACAAAGCTTTTAGCTTTGTGACTAAAAGGACCATTAATAAACAAACAGCTGCGGTGGCTTAATATGTGTAATATTTCCATCACTAAATACTGAGTTCCTCTTTCTGCTGCATCTAGAAAAGTCTTTCTATTTACTGGCAGAGCATCAGCTTCAACACTAAGCTGTTGACCTCAATCTAAGCTACACTCACATTTAGTTTAGAGGTAAAATTGTTTCCACTGTGGAATAAAAAGCCTCTGTTCCCCTTTAGAATATGAGAAAACATTCTAATACAAGCCAAACAGATTGAAACTCCAGTTTTATTGAATTTTTTTATCTTTCTTCTTTTTGAAACTCTGTTATTTTTTCTGTAGGTCCATGAATCCTTCCAGAAGTACCTGAAGCCCCTGCGATCCAAGCTGTAAGCTAATGAAAGGAGCTCCACTAATGACTGGGACCCTCCAACTCTGCCCGAATCTCCCCTCTAATAACCTGCAGTATCAACCCTATGATGGTTTCCTCTGCTTATCAGCGCGTTTTTCACCTTAATTGCAGCACTCCGTCCACTTCTGGTTTAACAAACACATCTGCTACAGCTTTGGTAGACGGCTGATAAGTCTGGAGTGTTATGGAAGCTCAGCAGAGCGATAAATAAGATTGACGGAGGAATAAATTAATCTCTCTTTAACAGAATAAATAAAGATTGAAGCCAAGTGGATAGATTTAAAAACAGAAAGCAAACCGCTTCACTGTTTTTTATTAAAATAATAAATGCTTCATGAAATTCTGGGTGTACTAGTAAGAAAATACTGAAGCTTTTCCCCATTTCCCAGATTCACATCAGAAATATTTCATAAGTATTTTTAGTTTTCTCATGTGGTTATTTCTAAATGTCTTTTTCCAATTAGTGTCAGTCGATCTAACCTTCCTTCCTCCCTGAACTTCTCCTCCTTTCCTCCTTAAACGGATCAGTTAAGGTTATGGGATGCTTCAGTTAATAAAAGCTACAATCAGAGGACAAACAGAACGGCGTGTAGGGAAGTAGACCAAATTGATGCACTTTGTAATTGTAGTTTTTTTTTTTATTTGTTTTATTGGATACTTGCCCTTTTAGCATTTTTTTTTTTTATTTGCTTTTCATTGCACAATTTTCCTTTTTTCCTGGTGAAATTTGACCTGTATAAAAAGCCAGGAACGGATTTCGGAAATTTGGGGCCCTAGGCAAAGACAGGCAGGGGGCCCTCTGAATTGAGAAGACAACGCATAAAACCCATTTTTTCCCCTCTCTTCTTGTCCCTTTTCTTCTTGTTTTCCTCTCTATGTTTTGTACTCAGCTGACTTTTCATGCTGTCTCTAAAGGAATGAAAGATTTTTTCCAAGCACTAAG